CTGCACATCACCCTGAACCCCTAAACCTACAGCCAGAGCTGCAATGGAATGGTTTAGATCAAAGCATATTCATGTGTTAGAATGGTCTGGTCAATGTCCAGACCTAAATCCAATTGAGAATCTGTGTCAAGACTTAAATTGCTTTTCACAGACACTCTCCATCCGATCTGACAGAGCTTGAGCTATTTTGCAAAGAAGAATGGGCAAAAATGTCACTCTCTAGATGTGCAAAACTGGTAGAGACATCCCCAAAAAGACTTGCAGCTGTAATTGCAGTGAAAGGTGGTTCTACAAAGTATTGACTCCGGGGGGCTGAATACAAATTCACGCCACACTTTTTCAGATATTTATTTGTAAAACATTTTGAAAACCATTTATCATTTTCCTTCCACTTCACAATTATGTGCCACTTTGTGTTGGTCTATCACATAAAACCCCAATAAAATACATTTACGTTTTTGGTTGTAACTTGACAAATTGTGGAAAATTTCAAGGGGTATAAATACTTTTTCAAGGCACTGTACTAAGGGTTCCTCCATCTCCCCTGGACAAAACGAGCGCCTAATCCTTCCAATGCAGGCGCATCTTTTTTTTTTTTTTTTTTTCCTGCCTGGGGTTTGGCTTTAACACCTGTCAGCTGACTTGACCTCTGATTGGGTATAATGTGCGCTTTATGTTTTTATTTGGAAAATAAAGCAATCATTACAACTTTAACTCTGTTACACAGCAGATGAAACTTATACGAACAGTTTATTAAACTGATCTTCTCTTCTTTCTTCATGCTTCCACCACCCCCTTACTTTTATTTAGTGCCCCCCAATTGGCCCAGAGGCTACTACTACCTCCCCTTGATTGTTCCAGCGCTCACCGGGGGTGGGGGGGATCACCTAATTTAGGCAAGGCACTGTTCTAGATCAGCTAAGTAGAAGAAAAATGTTCAAGCAAAATGCATGGTAATAGGGGACGTTTGCACTCAAAAAAAAAAAAAAAAGGGGGGGGGTTATCTTAATTGTTACACAGGTACGGCAAATTACTGTGTTAAATGTAAGGTTTTAAAAAGGTTCAAGATTTTTTTCAACCTTAATACATTCTATTCGTTAAGGTAAACCTTCTACATGCAGTCCCCCTCCCTATACTTACCTGAGCCCGATCTCATTCCAGCTCTGTGCATGAGAGCGGTGTCTCTCTCTTCTTTCTCTCCTCATAGGCTCATGGACAGCACTGTCAGTCACAGCCAGTGAGCAAAGGCCGGGGTGAGCCATACTCTGTGTGTCAACGGACACACAGAGCGTGGCCCAGGAGAGAGCGTGCATGAATGCCCCCATAGCAAGCAGGGGGGAAGAGCCAGGAGCGCGGATGGATCAGGGCTGCTCTGTGCAACACCATTGCACAGAGCAGGTAAGTATAACGTTTGTTATATAAACAAAAAAAAAATACCTTTTAGAATCACTTTAAATAGTTTTTTCCTGTACTGTACAGTACTTTCCACCCTACAGGCTCACGTGGTTTATAATCAGCCACTGTGTTTTTTGTCACTGCAGTTTTCGGCGTTGTGTCCTAATAGCATTTGCAGCAGGCCAGTCATGTGGACATGCGCTGGAGCTCTCTTCTGGGAGGCTTTTGGTTGAAACAACTAAGTATTATCTATACTTCCCATATACTATATAACAGCTCCGTTTCCTTACTTTAATGGACAGGGCAGCAAATACACAGTGCTTGGCTCTGTTCACCAGCAGCACAGGATATGTGACAAATTGTAGTTGCTTCTAGACATGTAACCAAGAAGGAAGATCATGGGCTCAAAATGAGGTACAATCCAGTACACCAGATCAGTGGTCTCCAAACTGTGGCCCTTTGCTTGCTTTTATCCGGCCCTTGGGGCCCTATTCCTCCCACTTATACGAGGCACTATTCCTATCACTGACATCAACAATGGGGCTTAATTCCTGTCACTGATACCAACAATAGGGCACTATTCCTACCATTGACCCTCAACAATGGGGCGTTATTCCTCCTACTGACACCAACAATGGGGCATAATTCCTGTCACTGATACTGAGAATAGGGTACTCTTCCTACCCCTGGGGCATTATTTTTCCCACTGACACCAACAATAGGGCACTATTCCTCCAACTGACACCAACAATGGGGCACTATTCCTCCAACTGACACCAACAATGGGGCACTATTCCTCCAACTGACACCAACAATGGGGCACTATTCCTCCAACTGACACCAACAATGGGGCAATGGGGCACTATTCCTCCAACTGACACCAACAATGGGGCACTATTCCTCCAACTGATACCAACAATGGGGCACAACTGATACAACAATGGGGCACTATTCCTCCCCCTGACACCAACGATGGGGCACTATTCCTCCCCCTGACACCAACGATGGGGCACTATTCCTCCCCCTGACACCAACGATGGGGCACTATTCCTCCCCCTGACACCAACTGATTCCTCCCCCTGACACCAACGATGGGGCACTATTCCTCCCCCTGACACCAACGATGGGGCACTATTCCTCCCCCTGACACCAACGATGGGGCACTATTCCTCCCCCTGACACCAACGATGGGGCACTATTCCTCCCCCTGACACCAACGATGGGGCACTATTCCTCCCCCTGACACCAACGATGGGGCACTATTCCTCCCCCTGACACCAACGATGGGGCACTATTCCTCCCACTGACACCAACAATGGGGCATAATTCCTTCCCCTGATACCAAAAATGAGGCAATATTCCTCCCACTACTACCAATGATGTAGCATTGTTTGCTCTCATTGATGCCAGGGCATTGTCTATCCACACTAGCCACAGTCCAGCCCCCTCAAATTTTGAAGAACAGAAAACTGGCCCTTTGTTTTAGAAAGTTTGGAGATCCCTTCACCAGATGATGGGAAAACAGGGCAGTGCCAGTATTAAGTTTTGGCTACCATAAATGCAAATACAGCAGTTTATCATCGAGCCACATGTTATTTTTAATGGAATTTTCACTTGATTGGTGTTTTTTTTTTTTTTTTTTGCCTGGACTTCTGCTTTGTCAGCTTTTATTTCTGCATGTGTAGTGAGATGGGCAAAGATATCTTGGTGCATTTTAAATGTTTTTTTAAACCCTGAGCTAATTCTCACTTTGCATTTTTAATGTAATGCAGATTATTTCTTTATGCTCAAAGGAAAGAGATCTAATAAATGGCTTTTACTAATGATGTGACTAAAGCCAGCAAAATTGTAAAGAATTATTAGGTAGTTTAGGGGCTAATAATACCATTCTTTAAGTCCGCTCCATGAAATATCAGGTCAGTTAATGGGTCAGCCCATGCAAAATAATAAAATTGTGCATGTTTTCTACAGATCTTTATCAGCCGTTGCTACAAATCAAAGATGATCTAACTATGCCTGCATTTGTTAAAGCAAACTGGTGCGATATAAATCTGTTGTATATGTTGATTGATAATAATTCATTAGTAAATGTGATTCATTTGACAATCTTGCTTATCTGTACTACAGACAGCCATATACAGGCCAGTCTGCAAAACATAATTTGACTCTTCCTGTCTCATTTAATAACGTAGGTGATTACATTTGTCATGATTTTCTGCTAAATAGCCCATTGAGGCACAAATTATTTGTGTGCATTGGCTATAGAGCTTCTGTATTTTGTCCATCAGTGACTTTTTCCATGAATCTTACAAATCTACTCGTGTTTTAAATCAGCCCTTGTAAATGTCTTCCATAGTTAATGCTACATTTTAAAATATAAATGGCAATTCAAGCATTCACAATTAAGGCTACCCATAAATAGCCCAATCCATTGATTCTATGCCATGGAAAAGAAATTCATACCACACACCAAAAGAACTCTGTGTATAGGTTCATTGAAAATGAAGGTCACAGCCACCTACCTGATCTCCTCCCTCTAATACGTTTCACTCACAATATGGTTTAATTGTAGAGCGAGGCGGAAAACTGGGGGGGGGGGAGTTAAATACACACATAATCATTGAAACGATTTCCAACTCATTTGCCAGTCAACCCGTGCAAACTCATCAACATTAACTCTTTCATGGGTCAATTTTCTGGCATGGAATCTAACATATCTTTATTAATATTATGCAGGATTTATAAAGCGCCAACAGTTTGCTCAGCGCTTTACAATATAAAGGGAGACAATACAGCAACAATACAGTTCAATACAAGAGGGATAGGAGGGCCCTGCTCCTTGGAGCTTACAATCTAGGAGATATCTGATATGTTCATCTGTCCCCTCCCTTCTCCCTTGTTAAGATTGTTACAACATTATTAGAACATTTTATTGAAACTATTTATTTCATTTATTTGTGTACCTACAATTTACCTATTGCCCTTGCAAATGAAAAAGATGAGTAAGCCAACCATAATCCAATCTCTTTAATTCAAATAAACAGTAAATGAAAGGAAAATGTGATGCTCAGGCATGGTTCAGGCCATTTACGGGCACCCAAAGGAGAACATGATAAGCAGTTCTTGTCAGTCATATAGATTTGCCACCCTGTTAGGAAAATGCTAAGAGGTCTGCCCTTTCTTTAATTGAGAAGAAATGTGTTCATGGCCTGCTTCAGTCCACTGGGTGAGTTATGCAATACGTTAGATCAGGGGTGTCAAACTGGCAGCCCTGCAGCTGTTGCAGAACTACAAGTCCCATGAGGCATTGGAAGGCTGACAGTTACAAGCATGAATCTCAGAGGTGGAGAATTTGTAGTTCCGCAACAGATGGAGGGCCGCCAGTTTGACACCTCTGCATTAGATAATCTCTTCCTACATTGTTCTCGGACACATCTGCCCATCTGTAGCATGCCTAAACAGTTCCAGATACTTAGTTGTTACTTGATAGCTATGGCCTCTCTATGTATGCCCATCAGATAATATGGCTAAAGAATAGAACTAGGCATATGAGAAACATGGCTATCCATGAGTATGTATATTCACTGCTTTTTCCTGTACTGTAGCATTCGTTATTGGGCCGTCTCGAGCGGATCATCCAGGCCTCTTTTCCTCTTCCTTCTGTTGCTGATATAGAAGAAAGCATATCACCTCTGGATCTTCTGCTATGCACAGAGCAACAAGGGGAAACCTCAAAACCTCAGTCCAGCACCAGGTATGTAGTAAACTACTCTACATAGAAAAGGACAAAGGCACATCCTAGGTTTGTATCTTGTTATGGCTAGAGCTTCTTTCTTTTAGACACGCTGCTAGTAAGATTTCCCTGTTGTTTTGCTTCTCTGCTAGCTCCCACAAAGCTAATACAAAGTTGCCCCTGTCCTAAGCCAGCCATAGATGGATCGAAATGCGATCGGTTCAGCATTGACCGGACAAATTTCAATCCATTTATAGGAAAGCTGTTGGAAAATATTTGATTGATCAGTGCCGTTGGCATTGCTGATGAGTGTATTTCTGGCTGCAGGGAAGCCTTCCCGCTGTGAGAATACAGAAGCTCTGTGGGAGGGATTCCCCAATTCCACCTTGATTGTGTGGTTGGGGGAATCAATTAATTTTCTTTCACCAGAGGTTGAACAAAAGAAAAATTAGTTGTGTATTGCCAGCCTTAAACGTTGCAGTTATATGCATTGTGTAGAATCTATTGGGAGATCATCATTGTTAGAACACCATCATTTTGTGATTCAACTTGCCAGTGGCCATGCAAACCTAAGACAACCATTTTGGTGTTTCCTAAGTACATTGAACTAAAACACATGTGATGAGTTGTCAAATGTGTGTATTAGATCATTGCTACAAGTGTCAATTATTGAATAAGTGGACCCTGCTTGTAGTGCAGAGTCTGCTTTATGCCCTTAAGTACCTTTTGGCTCCACGTTGGGAGTGTTAATATAGATGCTGTGCTGGGCTCTAGCGTCAGGCTTCTGAAGCACTAAAGCTCATGTTACTAACCTTTTTAAGCTAGAAAAACAAATGCTGTTATGTACAGGAACGAACCCATCTAAACTCAAAAACTGTAGTGGCAGCATGTATGGAAGTGAGTTCGAAAACTAAAATTCCTATGCTGTTGGGTGTAAAATATGCACAGAGACAGTCAATCTGCCCTGCCATCCTACTTCCCATCGTATTTTACACAAAATGATATGTTTACTTTAATTTGATAGAAGTCTGGAATTGCTGACCATTTATGAGTTCTTGGTGGCTTGTTCAGTTCCATCCATAGGTATGGAGGGATATAGCTACCTTCTATAGTCCTTTTTACTTGACAGATGGAGCTGAAGGGTCAGGGAGAGTGTTGAGGTATTGAGAATTACAGATCGTAGCTGTTTAGCTACTACAAAAAGGAATTCCATAGGCCTCGTGCACTACTGCTTCTAAACTCGTGTTTTTTTTAGGAGCTTTTGGTGTTTTTTTTTTTGCCAAAGCCCTTGAACTCAACTCAATAAAAGCCTATGTATCCATGCACACATAGGCTTTTACCAGAGTTCAGGAGCAGCAGAGTTTTAAAGGCAATAAAATTCTCCTCTCCTGAACTCAGAAGAATCTTGTTCAGGAGAGGAATGTTTTGACAGAAAAAAAAATGCCAAATGCTAGGCACTTTTTTTAGCTTGTTTTTTTTTTTTTTTTTTTTTTTTTTCAATAGCCAGAAAAAATTATTTATTCTGGCCAATGAAATGAATAAATAGCCCAAGTACATGACGCAGGGGGAAAGCATGTAAACAAACATCAGGAGCAGTTGTCTTTAACATCCAGTGTGCATGTTGTTTGTAGAATTCATGTGCTGTATTTTATTAACTTTTGCTATTTAGAAAGATTGTTAGTATTCTAAGCCTGATAAGTTCACCTTTGGGAACTTGTGATTTTATTCCACCGTTTTTAGGGTGGAACATTTAAAATGTTTCCCGCTCCCCAATTCCCCCATCCCTCCATGACAGTGGGCCTTTGATCTTCTCCCCTCTGTCACTGTTTGAAAGGAGCATGTCCATGTGAATAGGTGAACTGCAAGTACTAACAGGCTTTGCGGCTACAGTTTGTAGATCTCAATGAACTACCAGTGTGCTGTTGAGCACTCTAGGTTATTTGATTCTTGCTGTCTCATGAGCAGACAGGTGAACTTATCCTTTAAAGCCCAACTCCAAGAAAACATGAAATGAGAGAGGACCTGGTCACCAGAAGTGTCACTTCCCACCAATAGGTAGTGTCCACATCATGCAGGCAGAGATGTGGACACCTGAAGAATGACCCCAAAAAATAGAAGAAGAGAGGATTGTCACATGATCGTGGATTCAGATAAGGAAAATGGGTATTTAGTAGTTAGTTAAAGGGGTGTAATGGCTGTTGCTTAATATCCTGGAGTTGGGCGGGCTTTAAACTAAAATATCTTATACAGTTGCAAGAAAAAGTATGTGAACCCCTTGGGATTACGTGGAGTTTTGCATGAATTGGGCATAAAATGTGCTCTGAACGTTATCTAAGTCACAACAATAGAAGAACACAGTCTGCTGAACATAATACTACACAAACATTAGATGTTACCATGATGGTTTAATTGCACATAACATGTAAACATTCACAGTGCAGGGAGGAAAAAGTATGTGAGGCCCTAGCTTAATGACTTCTCCCAGAGCTAATTGGAGCCAGCAGTGAGCCAACCTTGACTCCAATCAGTGTGATGATATTGGATGTGTTGCTGACAGCTGTCCTGCCCTTAAACACACACCTGTTTTGGGTTTACTGGTTTCAAGAAGCACTGTCTGATGTGAACCATGCCTTCGCAGAAAAGAGCTCTCAGAAGACCTACAATCAAGAATTGTTGACTTGCATGAAGCTGGAAAGGGTTACAAAAGTATCTCCAAAAGCCTTGATGTTCATGTGTCCAAGGTAAGACAGACTGTCTACAAATGGAGAAAGTTTGGCACTGTTGCTACTCTCCCTAGGCGCGGTCGTCCTGTAAAAACGACTGCAAGAGCACAGCGCAGAATGCTGCATGAGGTAAAGAAGAATCCCAGAGTGTCAGCTAAAGACCTACAGAAATCTCTGGCACATGCTAACATTTTTGTTGACACATCTACAATAAGGAAAACATGAAACAAGAATGGAGTACATGGGAGGACACCACGAAGGAAGCCATTGCTGTCCAAAAAGAATATTGCAGCACGTTTGAAGTTTGCAAAAGAGCACCTGGATGTTCCACAGCACTACTGGCAAAATATACTGTGGACAGATGAAACCAAGATTGAGTTGTTTGGGAAGAACACACAACACTATGTGTGGAGAAAAAAAGGCACAACACACCAACATCAAAACCTCATCCCCACTGTAAAACATGGCGAGGGAGCATCATGGTTTGGGGCTGCCTCAGGGCCTGGACGGATTGTTGTCATTGATGGGAAAATGAATTCCAAAGTTTATCAAGACATTTTGCAGGAAAACGTACGACCATCTGTCCGCCAACTGAAGCTCCGCAGAGGATGGGTGATACAACAGGACAATGACCCAAAGCATACAAGTAATTCAACAAAACAATGGCTGCAACAGCACAGAATACGCCTTCTGGAGTGGCCCAGTCAGAGTACTGACCTCAACCCGACTGAAATGCCGTGGCATGACCTTAAGAGAGCGATTCACACCAGACATCCCAAGAATATTGCTACACTGAAACAGTTTTGTGAAGAGGAGTGGTCCAAAATTACTCCAGATCGTTGTGCAGGTCTGATCTGCAACTACAGGAAACGTTTGGTTGAGGTTATTGCTGCCAAAGGAGGGTCAACCAGTTATTAAGTCCAAAGGTTCACATACTTTTTCCTCCCTGCACTGTGAATGTTTACATGTTATGTGCAATTAAACCATGGCAACATCTAATGTTTGTGTAGTATTATGTTCAGCAGACTGTGTTCTTCTATTGTTGTGACTTAGATGACGTTCAGAGCACATTATATGTCCAATTCATGCAAAACTCCACGTAATCCCAAGGGGTTCACATACTTTTTTCTTGCAACTGTAGCTGAGTTTGTTCTGTAGTTATGTTGGATATTACAGCATGGAGGATATATAATTGTCATTCCATGTGTACCGCGTTTAAAGCTGGACAACTTGTGGGCGCTTGCTAACCTTTTTTTTTTTTTTTTCTTTTCCTTTTTTTTCTTTAAAGGTTGCACATTAAAGTGCTAGACATATGGGCTGAGCTGCAGGATATCCATGATGCCTTCGGACTGAAGTACCAGTGGGGAGGTTCACATAGCAACAAAAAGCTCCTGTGCTCCCTTGGAATCGACACAAGGAACATAGTATGTTAGTGCTCTTGGTGCTATTGTCTTTTTTGAAAACCACAGAGCTGCTCTGTAGGAAATGAACAAGCTGCTTGAATGAACCTGCAAAGCAGCAGTTCAGGGTAGACCTTCACTACTTTGAAGAATAGTCTTGGGTGAATAATCTGTAACCTTTTACCTGTTTTTGCCAGGTGGACCACTAAGCACAGAGAAAGCAGTTTCTGTGCTGCATACTTTGGCCAGAACCGGGTCTAGTACTTTCTCTTTTTTTTTTTTACACTGAAGCTAAATTAATGTTATCCTTCTGTTTTCATCCCACTGCTCTCTAGAAAAAGTTCCACAGTTAAACATTTAAAACTATTCTGTTTCTATGAATAAATTCTTTAGGGACTTTGTAGCTGTGTTGCCTGTTGACATAATTATTTATTAACAAAGGTGATTTGGAAATAACAGTAAATGACTGAGTAGGCAAATCATTCAAAATATCACACGCGGTACAACCTCATAGAGGATGATTGAACATGACCCAACCTGCCGATAATTGTCGATGGGACAAGAATATGGATGAGCAACATGGAGAACTAGTACAGGCATTTAGCATATGGAACCATATTGTAGACTGGAGAGTACCTTAGGTTAAAGAAGGAGAGCCACAGAAGAGGCACACATGAGAATACAATAGGGTAAAGAAGCAAAGTGGGCACAGCCGAGGCTGACACCAAGAACATGAGAGAAAGCAGATGAGGTGCAGAAGGGGAGAATTCTAACTTTGGTTATAAGGAACTGTGCATGATCACAAAAAGTTAGTGACTGGAAGATAAAAAGATAAGAGGCTCTGAGGAACAGTTTAGAGAGCAGGAAAGTGATTACACTGAGAAGGAGCATGGTAAGGAATCACTTTGGATAAAATTAGTTGTATAAGATTTGGTTCATAATAGTGCAAGCTGTGCAGCCCAAGTTTGCTTGGGCACAGCAGCCTATTCATTTGAATGGGCTGCTGTGCCATGTGTTCCACACAAAAAAGGTGCATGCACCTTTTTAAAAACGCAGTCGCAGAGAAACCGCATTGTGTTTTTGCTTTTTCCCTGCAGTTCCCGCGATCGCACTGCGGGCTGAGATGCATGGCGGTACCATTCAGAATGATTAGCAGCCCCGCGCATCCAGCAAAAGCAGCGTGATTACCACACCTAGAACACACAGTGTGGGCTAATGTGAACCTAGCCTAATTGCTGGGGCAAGTTAAACCATGCTTTATTTTTTTTGCCTTTCTTTGGATTCGGGTATAGGATTCTGTACATGGAGGTTTTCTTTTTTTTTTTTTTTTTTTTTTCCTGTTGGTCGAATGAGATGAACGTGTCCTTTTTTTTTTTTTTTTTTTTTCCGACCTAACTATGTAATTAGTGAAATCAGGGGAGAAGACACTTAGCATTAGATGAGAGCTGGGGGAAAAATGGTTGCAATGGAGGAGAGTGTTGTATCGAAGCTTAGAGAGGATGGGGAGACATGGATTAAAGTTTAAATGTGAGCCTGGAAAAGAAGTGTGCAACACTGGGTAGCGCAAAGAAGGAGGAGGTTGGTGTAAAGTGGAATATGTGCAAGAATGCCCCCCCACATAAAAAAAAAAAAAAAAGAAGAAAGCAAAGCTAAACTAAACCCTCCTATCCTTTACAACCAATGAAGTTGCATATTAGCCTCTGATCTGCAGTTGTCATGGTGCTGCACATGTGATCGGTTAGGACACCAGTCATTTGATGGCTTGACCGTTCCATTTAGAGCACAATAACATGTGAGTTATCATTCATGGCCTACCTTTTAACATGGCATACCTGTTCTGTCGGCAGGGAGCACTGGGAGCCTTCCCTGCTGGTAGAACACAATGATCACTGATGTTGGCTATAGCCACCGGTAGTGAATGTTTGAAAAAAATCCGACAGGCTGGTTGTAATAAAGTCGATCGATAGATCAACTTTAGTACAGATAGCCTGCCCATAGATGGGCCGAATCTCGTCTGGTCCCTGCTGAACTGACCAAGATTCGATCCATCAATGACTGGCTTAAAACTAACAGGTAACAGGGAGTGATGTTTTATTAATATTTTACAGCAGTGGTCTCCAAACTGTGGCCTGGGGGCCAGATGCTTCCCTCTGCTTGCTTTAAAACTAACAGGAAACAGGAAGTGATGTTTTATTAATATTTTATAGCAGTGGTCTCCAAACTGTGGCCTGGGGGCCAGATGCTTCCCTCTTCTTGACTTTAAAACTAACAGGAAACAGGGAGTGATGTTTTATTAATATTTTACAGCAGTGGTCTCCAAACTATGGCCCAGGGGCCAGATGCTTCCCTCTTCTTGACTTTAAAACTAACAGGAAACAGGGAGTGATGTTTTATTAATATTTTATAGCAGTGGTCTCCAAACTGTGGCCCGGGGGCCAGATGCTTCCCTCTGCTTGCCTTTAACGGGCCCTTTGGGCACTATTTATCCCACTGATAGGGGACACTATTCTGCCCACTTAAATTAACAATGGGGCATAATTCCTGCCACTGACAGCAACAATGGGGCACCATTCCCCCCCGAATACCAAAGATGGGACACTGTGAGAATACTGTGTTTACCATGTTAGAGATCTAATCAGAAATTCTTTTCTTTTAAACAAATAAAGAGCAATTATCAGTTGCTGCAGAAAAATTACAGAATTGTGAAAATGTTGAATCTTAACCATATTGTGATGGTTTGTATGCCATGAACCATAAAAACAGGAATGCATATGATAGTGTGGCACATAATGGCAGGGAAAATGTATGCAAGCAGCTGTTTTTATTGCTGCCTATGTGTGAAGGGTGAGGCTGTTTCCTTCTTCTTTCACCCCTATTTATGGCACTTTTTCAAATTAATCTTCTGCACCAGCTGTACAACTGTGCTTATAAGTTTACATACCCCTGGCAGAATGGGTAAGATGTGGACCATTTAAGAAAAGATGACTGATCACGCCACGTTTCTTTTATCTGTATTGTGATTGAAATGGAACTAGTATGCATTACACAGTCATTAAACAAGCTATAGCTATAAAGTAAAATGATAAAGTGTTCAAAAGTTTGCATACCATTAGTTTTTATTTTCTTTTTTAGCATCAGTGATGACTTAGTTTTATTATGCTAGTTGTATATTACTCCCTTTATTTTCTCATGTGGTAAAGTTGCCTGTTCTTTTTGCCAGAGAGTCCCCAGGTTCTGAAAATTCTTTAGTTTGCCATCACGAATGTTTGAAATCTCCCAAAAGTGTTTCAGTGATGTTGGATTTAAAAGACTTTAAAGGATAAGTTCAACTTTATACAAAAAATAATAAATGCACATTTTTTGCAGGTAAAAAAAATGTGAATTTATATTTTGTTTCAGGAGCCTGTAAATCATTGCCCCAGTGATCAGCAGGTCTTCTGCAGATCTGTCAGTATATCTCCTTGCTGTACAGGATGTTCGGGCAAGCAAATATACTGACAGGAAGACTCCATTAACTACCACAGCGCTCCACAGCGCCATTGTAGTTCATTGAGAACTACAAGCCAACAGCCTCTAAGGCTGTTGGGACTTGTAGTTTCTCATTCACAGAACACAGTGATTGATGGACACGGCCGGGCTGGCAGAGCCCCACGCGGCCACCTTTTGAAAAAAAAAAATGACAGCTAGTGAGGGGGAGAAGATCCATCGCTAGCTGTCAAAGAGGGGGTGCAGGGGCCGGTCTAATCAGAACATGTTACACCCTGAATATGGGAGTCCAAGTGCACACCATGCGTAGCCTCCAGGTTAATGAATGCTAATTTTTCTCTAGTATTTTCTAATATGTTGTATTTATCTTGTCATCCATTTTTACTAAATTTCCTGTGACTGCAGAAGTATGTAAGCTCATGAGCCCATCTATTTATCTCTTTCCATGGGTATATTTATCCATTGGATTTTTTTTAAACTGCTCAGCTTAAATTTAGGCACATATAAAAAATCATTGTAAAGTGGTACTTTAGTCGGAAAACAAAGGTTTGGTAGGTTACTTCATGCTATCCCCTTTTGCAGGTATAGCTACTGTATGTAAAACATTAAAAACAAGTGCCTACTGTATACTGTTTAACCACTTCAATACTGGGCACTTTTACCCCCTTCCTTCCCAGGCCAGTTTTCAGCTTTCAGTTCTGTCGCACTTTGAGTGACAATTGCGCGGTCATGCAACACTGTACCCACATGACATTTTTATAATTTATTTCACATAAATAGAGCTTTCTTTTGGTGGTATTTAATCACCACTGAGTTTTTTATTTTTTGCTAAATAAAACAAAAAACCTGACACTTTTGGGAAAAAAAAAACGCATTTTTCTTTGTTTCTGTTATAAACTTTTGCAAATAAATAAAATTTCTTGATAAATTTAGGTCAATATGTATTCTGCTACATTTCCTTGGTGAAAATACCCCAAATTAGTGTATATTATTTAGTCTAGGAAAGTTATAGCGTCCAAAGCCAAGGTGTATATATATCTGACAATTGATCAATCCTGATGTACTGACGGCCCATCTCATTTCTTGAGAATAGTAAAGCCTTCACTACTTTATGAACACTTTTTTGTTATAAGACTTTCACAGTTTCACTTACCGTATTTTCCGGCGTATAAGACGACTTTTTACCCCTTGAAAATCTTCTCAAAAGTCGGGGGTCGTCTTATACGCCGGTAACAGCATGCTGACACTTTTTAGGGGGGCGGCGCGGTGCCACCGCCGCCCCCCCCCCCCCCCTTCCAACAGAAGGGAAACTAAGTACAGGGGTGGGCAGGGGCTGCTGTCTCTTACCTTGCTCCGGTCCCACGACGATCCGGTCCAGGAAGCGCGGCTGCTCCTTCCTTCGGTTCATCCACTGGATGTTCGCGCGGGCTGCTCGGCTCCGCCTCCTCACCGGTGATTGGCCGCCAGAACTGTAGCTCAGGAAAGGCACACAGGCGGCCAATCACCGGCGAGGAGGCGGAGCTGAGCGGCCCCGCGAAAATCGAGTGGAGATGCAGGTAAGTGTGCCGTGCTTAGGTGCTGCTGCAACCACACATGCTGGCTGCAGCAGCACCGTACTGGAACAGGGGTCAGCAAGTGTCAGTGGGAGGAATAGTGCCCCATCGTTGGTGTCACTGATACCAATGATGGGGCATTATTCCTCCCACTGACACCAATGATGGGGCACTTTTCCTCCCCCCCACTGACACCAACGATGGGGCACTATTCCTCCCCCCCCCACTGACACCAACGATTGGGCACTATTCCTCCCCTCCCCCCCCCCCCACTGACACCAATGATGGGGCACTATTCCACCCCCCACTGACACCAATGATGGGGCACTATTCCACCCCCCACTGACACCAGTGATGGGATACTATTCCCCCCCCCCCCCCCCACTGACACCAACGATGGGGCACTATTCCCCCCCCCACTGACACCAATGATGGGATACTATTCCTCCCACTGACACCAAAGATGGGGCACTATTCCACTGACACCAATGATGGGGCACTATTCCCCCCAATGATACCAATGATGGGGCACTATTCCTGCCACTGATACCAATGATGGGGCACTATTCCTCCCACTGACACCAATGATGGGACACTATTCCTCCCACTGATACCAATGATGGGGCGCTATTCCTCCCACTGACACCAATGATGGGACACTATTCCTCCCACTGACACCAATGATGGGGCACTATTCCTCCCACTGACACCAATGATGGGGCACTATTCCTCCCACTGATACCAATGATGGGGCACTATTCCTCCCACTGATACCAATGATGGGGCACTATTCCTCCCACTGATACCAATGATGGGTACTATTCCTCCCACTGACACCAATGATGGGGCACTATTCCTCCCACTGACACCAATGATGGGGCACTATTCCTCCCACTGACACCAATGATGGGGCACTATTCCTCCCACTGATACCAATGATGGGGCACTATTCCTGCCACTGACACCAATGATGGGGCACTATTCCTCCCACTGACACCAATGATGGGGCACTATTCCTCCCACTGATACCAATGATGGGGCACTATTCCTCCCACTGACACCAATGATGGGGCACTATTCCTCCCACTGATACCAATGATGGGGCACTATTCCTCCCACTGATACCAATGATGGGGCACTATTCCTGCCACTGACACCAATGACTGGGCACTATTCCTCCCACTGATACCAATGATGGGGCACGATTCTTCCCACTGGTGTGCACTGGAAGAGGGGTAGTCTTATACGGCGAGTATAGCCCAAACACTACATTTTAAACAGGAAAAGTAGGGGGTCGTCTTATACGCCCAGTCGTCTTATACGCCGGAAAATACGGTACTTTGTTGCGCCCATCGTAGTGCTTCATCCACTTTTATTTATTATCACTATTTAATAATGATTTCTTGATTTATTAATCTCATCAAGAATTATTGAGTTATTATTCAGTATTTTTTCAGCTTACACTATGTAATGTTTTAGCGCTGCACTGTTTTTTTTCTGATTAGAAACAGGAGCAATGCTGGAGATAATTTACAGCACACTGTGATTTTGGTAGCATCATTATTAATGTGGAGTGTACGTTCCTTGCTAAAGAACATGATTTCTTTATCAAGTTGTAATGGGTAAAGCTCCTCTTTAAGTTACATGTTCATTAAAATTTTTTATTTAATTTGAAATGAAACTAGTGTAAAAATCTAAACGTCACTTGGCATCTGCCACTTGTAATACCATGTACAGCAGCACTCCCTGAAAGAGGGTTGCGCACTACTGAGAACCAATCAGTGTGCCTCAGTGCAGATGAGCTGAAAAGGCTGCATTCTGACAGAAGGAGAGAGCAGAGTGAAGAGAGGGATAACTCCCTGGGGGGAGGGAGATGACCAGGTTGTGTTTTTTTAAATGCAGTAGAAATAGACGATCACCAACCTAGCTCTGCTGTCTGGTAGGGATGTGTATATCTTTGAAATGGAAGGACAGAAATACAAATCCTTTTGCAGTTCCCTTATAAGTATTTATATAGTTAATGTAGTTGCTTGTCTAAAATCCAGCTTTAACTATGTTGTATAAATAGTGTTTTGTAGCATTACACTTTATTTTTCTTTAACTGCAGTATGTTTTTTTTTTTTCCTAGCTATTTACAGGTAATAAGAAGCAACCCGTCATAGTTCCCATGTATGCAGCTGGTCTGGTAAGCAAAGTCTGTTTTTTTTTTTTTTTTTCTCTTCCCCTGTATATTCAAAAGGCATTTAGGCCTTGTACACATGGGCTTTAGCTTGTGTAACAGCAGTGTTGACAGCAGTGTGTATAACATGCTTTTATAAAGAATTTCTTGTTTGTTCCCAATGATCCAAAAGAACATTTTTGAGGTCATGTACTGATGAGTGGGAAGACCATGCTCAAATTCAGGGCTCCAGTTCATCCAAAAGGTATACAATAGGGTTCAGCTTAGGGCTTTGTGCATGCCGCTCAGGTTTCTCTACACCAAAATTGTCCAGGTATGTCTGTATAGAAATGTCTTTACACAGAGGCATAGTCATGCTGGAACAGAGAAGGAGCCTTACCGACCTTTTGCCACAACCCCAAGGAACTTGGCTTTTTCAAAATATTTGAACATGCAAACAATAGATCTTTATTTAAATATTACCTCTAGATAAAGGTGTTATACTTGAATAATAACATAAGAAAAAAAAAATGCCAAGCATTCAACAAAAATTTCAGTAGATGTAATGATGTACTTTAGGAAAAGTACGTACACCCTTGGCATCAATAACTGGCATTGCTCAGTGTAGTAGAAATGACTTCTTGTAGGTATTTTGTATAGTTTGCCCACCACTCTCCTACATCGAATCAGGGATTTTTTTTGGCCATGTCTCAGTGCAAAATTCCTTCACTTGCAACATACTTGTGGGTTTCCTTGTATGAACTGTTAGTTTCAAAATCCCCCTACAAGGTTTCAATGGGAATCAAATTAGGACTTTGACTTGGCAGTCTTGGAGACTTCTAGCATCAAACAGAGCTCTCGGGTTGAATTTGCTGGGGCAGCCACTCCTGGACAAATACATTGCTTAAATTATGTATTTTAAATAAGTCTGCAAACTTTTTAATCCTTTTCCAGAATCTTAGGCATGCACAGCTTTCTTTCTGAGGATCTTGGAGAGCTCTGTTGATCTTGACATGCTGACACTACATGTGTTGGTAGAAAAGAGAACCTATACAGACCCTAGATGTTTGTGGTTTAAATAAGACTGGTTCAATCTGTATACTCCCAATGGAGGTTCTAAGTAACGGAATCTAATTTCGAACTCCGTTTCTAATTTCATGGATTAATATTGATGGAAAACGTAGCAGCGTACTTACCTTTTCCATTTTACAAATCTGTATTTTTGTTACTCAAGACCATGAAAATGTATATAGTATCAAAGTATTTTATCTTTATCTGTGGGCACTATTTCAATGAAAATCTATTTTTTTCCTGTTTAATTATGTGGAAAAAAGTCAAGAACCTTTATGGGGTGTACTTACATTTTCATGTGACTGTAGGTGTAATGGCAAGGTATCTGCATAACAGGGGCGGACTGACCATTTGAAAACTCGGGCACTGCCCGAGGGCCTGGGGTCAGTAGGGGGCCCCATGAGATGCGGCTACATAATGAACAGAACGTGACACTAAGGGAATAATTTCCAAAAATTATGCTTTATTACACACAAATGAATATGACATATGGGCATTCGCCCTGGTTTACCATCGTCATACGTCAGATACGTCACTTCCGGTCATGCGCACTAGGTGGAACGCACGCTGACCCATAAGGAGGAAGCCATCTTCACAAGCCATGAGGCAAGCCTAAGCAGCACAAGCGCCGAGAAGGGGCTGGAACCCGCGGTATATCGGCGGATGTCAGCGGTGGTTCCTTGGCCGCCTTGGCCCTGTATGGCAGTACCTATGAAGGATTTCTCTTTCATTCCCGTTATCCATAGCACAGGTGGTGAGTGGATTGTTGCAGGACATTAGATATATGGTCCTCTGTGATCTATATGACCTATATATCTTCTATAGAGTGTGAGCTCTGTCAGTGACTTCCCACATATTGTTTGTTTCACTACAGGATGGGGACATCATGGTGCTTTGCATAGGAAACAAGATATACCATATATATTTCAACAGGCAGAAGAGTCTTTGGGATGTGTCTTGTTTTTTCCTACAAAAAGTGGTGTATAGTCCACGTGTAGTGGTGAAGAAACCATTTTAAGCAGAGTGCTGCTGTGTGCATCTTTTCTTCCATCCTGGAAATAAATGGGGCATATTCCCATCCAAGAGCTCTAGGAAACAGCTATCTATATTACAGATGAATGGGCCCCAACCACTTGTGCCGGCACAGGAATGTATTGTACAATATATATTTGACATTTATGTCTTCCTTCATACAGGCCTGAGGCCTGCTACTCTCCTTTTTGACGCATATTGTGCTTGCTCCATTGCATACATGTGATATATATATCTACAGCATAATTTTTTGGATTTCTTGATAGGGATTTGCCATTATGGTTACTGTTTAATCCCTTATATCCTCTATTATGGTATGCCCATGGCATAATTTTTGGATACACCGCCCTAGGGAAGTGTTCACCTGTGTGTTTGTGTTGCAGGGACACTAGACTCATGTAGCCATTTTCCCTGCTACACATACATTTAGACCGGTCTTTGTGTCATTTTAAATGGTTTTAGGTCTGTGTGTATTGTCTCATACTGAGGTGATGGTAAACCAGGGCGAATGCCCATATGTCATATTCATTTGTGTGTAATAAAGCATAATTTTTGGAAATTATTCCCTTAGTGTCACGTTCTGTTCATTATGTAGCCGCTTTTCTGTGAATCTCTTTTCACAACCCTCCTTTTTTGTATGCTTCTTTTGGCTACTGAATGGAGACCATACATTGGGTGACACGTTAATGTATTTAATAACCTCTTTAATAACTATCTTAGTATATTGGCCCCATGAGATGCCCCTGGTACCTTTTTCATAGGCTTTTTTGAGTTTGGGCAAGGACACAGGGGCCCCATGAGTTGTCAGTCCACCCCTGCTGCATACATTTAGCCATATAGTGTACATATGTTAGACCAGTACATGATAGTGCTGAGATTGATGTAGCATAATGTATAAAACTTGCACAGATATTTTTTGTCCAGCAGAAGACTCCTTATAGGTCAAGCATTCTCAACCAGGAATCCTCCAGAGCTTACTAGGGGTTCCTTGAGCTGTGGCTAGCTGACCTTCCATCTGATGTTACCTTCACAATTCCTGGTCCATGGCATGACACTAAGGCTCCATGCACACTGGGTGTTTTGATAACTCTGGTAATGTTAGCTGTGTAAAGTCACATTAAAAATGTGAGTTTTTCCGCTTTTTTTAGCGTCTTTTGCATTAGCGTCTGTGTTTTGCCACGTTTAGCACCGTTTTTCCACGTTTGCGGTTTTTTTACGGGTTTTTTTTTTTGATGAATTTACTTTTGTGTGTCAAAAAAAGTCCATAAACGCCAGTTTGTGGTGTTTTACCGCGTTTTTCAGCATTAGAGCATTTTTACAGCTAAAAAATTCCTCTACAAATCCACTAGTCCTGGGTTTTTTTTCCAGCCAAAAAACTTCCCTGCCAAAAAACGTTGATTACAGTCTGTGTGCATGGACACATAGGATAACATGCTGGGGAGTTTACTGGCTGTAGAAAAAAACATCAAAAGCTAAAAACAGTCCCTGTAAAAACGTCCAGTGTGCATGAGGGCTAATGACCTTTTCCACAAGAAATCCCAGTTACAATATGCCTGACAACACCTTGACAGGCCTAACCGGGCCTTCCTGTGTCATGATGCAGTAAAGGCTTCTTTCTGGCACCTCGACCATGTTGCTCATTTTTGTTCAAGTGTCATCATATTGTGCTCCTTTCAAACAACCACACTTTTTTTCCAGAGCAGCCTGTATTTTTCTTGTGGTTACCTATGGGTTTCCCTTTGTATCTCGAACAATTCTTCTGGCAGTTATGGCTGCAATCTTTCTTGGTCTACCTGTACTTGGCTTGGTATCAAGAGATCCCTAAATTTTCTACTTCTTAGTGGAAGTGATGACTGGCATATTCAAGGCTTTAGACATCTTTTTATGTCCTTTTCCATCTTTATAAAGTTCCATTACCTTGTTACGCAGGACTTCTGACAGTTCTTTTCTGATCCCCAAGGCTCAGTATCTAGCCTAATCAGTGCTTCCATGTAAGAGCTAACAGACTCATTGACTATTTATACACTGACACTAATTGCAATTTTTAAAAAGCCACAGATGTGGGACATTAACCTCCTAATTGGCATTTTAACCCGTGTGTGTCACCTTGTGTGTCTGTACCAAGGCCAAACATTCCAGGGTATGTAAACTTTTTTGATCATGGCCATTTGGGTGATTTCTGTTATCATTATGATTTAAAAAGGAGCCAAACAACTGTTTGATAATAAATGGCTTCACATGATCTTCATCCTTCAATAAAAGAGCATTTTTTGGCATGATCAGTCATATTTTCAATATCAATCCCAAAATTTCACAATTTCTGCCAGGGTATGTAAACTTTTGAGCACAACTGTGTATGTTAATATTAATGCATGTTGCACATTTTAGATAACTTCTGTCTTGTATCAGTTCTATCTGTGTTGGTGCTGAGAATTTTGCTCGCTTATGGTCTGGTGAAAACCTTATCAAGACAGTGAAGGCTCGTTCACACTGGCTGGCACATTGAACGCTAGGACAGTGCCCTTGTGCCAATCCCAGCACATCTTACTGATTTCATTTTTTAAAATTCTTTTTGTTTTGTTAGAAATGTCACAAGTGACATTTAATTCCGTTCCATTCACCGCTGTGGCATTGCCAGGCAATGGTTAGCACCGCAACACGCTGTGTTGAAAAGTAGTAGTGCATGCAATACTTTATTCAACGCACAACCTCACAACCCAGTGGTGTGAACTGACTTCATAGGAAACAGGACAGATCAACTTGTCTTTATGTTCATTATGCATTGAGAAAGACTGCCCAGCGCAGCCCAGAACAAATCATTTGAGCCGCCCCTAGTGGGAAATTTTGCTAGTGGAGCCACAGATAGCAGTAAAACTAAAACATTCTAACCCTTCCCCTCCCTATCCAAAACCTAAAAAATTTGGCTGCACATGCATGTTTAAAAATATGACTCGAACATCTTGTTACAGTAGTGCACAATATGTACTTTATAAAAGAACCTTACATTTTTCCTTTGACTCAAACCGGTACTTTGCACATTCAGATTACTTTCCCTACACTGTCCCACTGGCTTGTTTGCCTCTCCCAGACCAGAGGCTCGTGACATACCCAGTATCTAGTATAGGGAAGCTATAAGTCTGTCCGGTTTCTTCCTGTGATACAGCACTGGATGCCTAGACGGACAATCATTGGGTCTGAGTGCTATCATGTAAGGGTAGAGTCCTCAGCCCTGTTTCAAATCTATTTCTGTAAAATGATATTATAAAATTTCTGGTTTGATATGTTTTGCTTATCAATTTATTTCTTTTTACATCCTTTTGTTTGTGCAGGGTATGCTGGAGCCAACAAAAGAGCCCCTTAAGCCTTTATCTGCTGCAGAGAAAATTGCCTCAATTGGACAGTCTTCTCATCTTTCTCCAGAGGACATTTCTTCTTCTGATCAGTTGCAGGTATTTTAGTTGTCTTGTCATTTAATGTATGACTATCCACATTATACATTCACTGGCCACTTTATTAGGTGCACCTTGCTAGTACTGGGTTGGACTGCCTTCAGAATTGCCTTCAATCCTCCATGGCATAGATTCAACAAGGTGTCGGAAACATTCCCCAGAGATTTGGTTCATACTGATATGAGTTACTGTTGCCTTTCTATCATTCGAACCTGTCTGCCCATTCTTCTCTGACATCAACAAGGCATTTTTGTCCACACAACTGCCGCTCATTGGATAATTAATTTTTTTCAACGATTCTCTGTAAACCCTAGAGATGGTTGTGTGTGAAAATCCCAGTAGATCAGCAGGTTTTGAAATACTCAGACCAGCCTGTCTGGCACCAACAACTATGCCACGTTCATAATCACTTAAATCAACTCTCCTCCCCATTCTGATGCTCGGTTTGAACTTCAGCAAGTTATCTTCACCATGTCTAGTTGCCTAAATGCATTGAGTTGCTGCCATGTGATTGGCTGATTAGCAATTTGTGTTACCAAGCAATTGAACAGGTGTAACTAATAAAGTGGCCAGTGATTGTATTTTATTAATTACTTTGGCATTGTCTGTGTTACCACATATAGTGTTATTTCAGACAGGCAGTAAGCTTACCATCCTGCAATGACTGACAGGCATTCAGGAGGAGCTACTGTCACCTCCTGATGCCTGTTTTTTGTTTTTTTTTGTTTTTTTTTTTTTTTTACTATGCGACAAGCATTTCGTTAGTGATTGCAGTGTGGCCCGATTAATATAATGAGAGAGTTGGCAGGTGTTGCTGCCTGTCAAACTCTGCAACTCGAGTAAAAAATGTGTACAGCCCTGTTAGGCTGTAATGTTAGAATTCAGGTGGGTAGCTGAGGGACAGTAAAACCACAGCACACTCATCTGTTTTTTACCCCCCTCCAGCCACCTGTGTGAAAAATACTGTACTGCTACAAGTTGCAACATCTGCAACCCACACTGTTGATTCTACTGATTAGTCGCTATGCACAGGTGCTCCACCTTCTGTCTGCTCTAGTTTTTGTAAATCTCCGCCCATTGTATTTAAGTTTTACGTAGTAGGTCCTCCATAATGATTGTGATGGCATCGATTGTTGTAGATCTTTTTCTGATGACTGATAGATAAGTTGACATCACACATGATGTAATATGTAACGGAATACAAATCCCTATAGAAATTAGAGGACCGCTTTGTGGAAAGAACAGTGCTGTCGTGGCTTAGTGGTACGGTATATGGTTAGTGCCTAGGCTGAATTGTGCTTACTACTACTTTACTTAGATTGGTTTTTACATTTTCCTCGTACATTGAATGACTGCCAAAATAATATTTGTGTTTTTATAGTATTACCCAATGTTAGTTTGCATTTAGATGCATTTTGTAAAAAAAATTGGAAATTTTCTCTGTTTTTATTTTTTATATATTTATTTTTATGTGAACCTGTATGTGTACTTTATTAGATTGCTCTTCACACATCTCCTAGGTTTAACTTGAATCGATCTTCAACCTCCATCTGTTGGTTAAATTTCCTACTGCAAACTTTGTTCTCTTGTGCAACACCTTTAACCTCTTCCCGCCAGGCCCATGCCGATAAACGGCCGGATGGGAGTGCTGCCAATGCGGGTGGACGTTTCTAAACATCCCCCCGCATCCACTGCCTGGGAGCGCACAGTGGCACCGCGATTGGTGCCCGCTGTGTCTGGAGGACACAATGGAACACAGATCGCTGTACAGGACCTCTGTGTGAGGACCCGATTCATGTGATCACTGATTGGCCAACAGTAATAAACAAGATGTCACTTCCTGAAATCTGTGAATGATCAGAGGTCACATGGTACAAGGCCAGTCACAACAGCCTTGTACCATGTGATAAGCTGTGACCAATCACAGCTCACACAGTATTTCTCAATGGGTGCAGGAATGCAGCCAGAGAGGAGGAGAAATGATTGCTTTACAGCCTTTATGGGTGTAAAAGCAATCCTTGTAAAAAAGAAAAAAAAATCTTTATCATCCCGCACAAGTAGTACAGTGTCACTATGGTGACACTGTATTGCTAGGGTGACAGTATGCTAAAAAAAAAACATAAATAATATAAACAAATTTAATAAAAATGTAAAAAAAATTATGAAAAATTATTATTTTTGGTTATAAAACTAATTTGGGTTTTTGCATGACCGCGCAATTGTCATTCAAAGTGTGATAGCACCGAAAGCTGAAAATTGGCCTGGACTGAAGGGGGGTGAAAGTGTCTGGACTTGAAGTGGTTAAAACCAATGCAGCATCTTTGTTCCATTCATGTATTAAAGAAGAAAAAAGGACCATATGTCCAACTCCCTTACACTGTCAACATTCAGTGAGGATATTATCTTTTCCAAAATCTCTAGTGGAACACACATCCCCTATATTTTACTTTGCCTGTAATGTTTACTGCTATGGCACAATAGCATGCATAATCTCCCCTGCAGAAATCATTCTGAGATCTGCAGTGCCCCCCCACCCCCAACAGTGAGGATGGATATCACCACTGGTACATATCCCACAGTTTGGGAAACCCTGTTCTATGCCATGGAGCCTTTTGAGTCCATTGTGTGTACTAGTATGGTCTGACTTTAGTCCTCCGGGCTCTGTAAATAATGAAAAGGAATTACAAAAAAGATTGTTGGAGGGGACAGCTCCTCTGTTACTTCAGAAAGGAATCCCAAGTGAATGGCTTTTTTTCTATTTTTCTTGGAAATCTTTCAGATGTTTTGTCTTTTTTTTTATGTTTTCCCTTCTCCGTTTTTATATGGTTTCAAAATGTTTAAAGCTGCATAGGATGTAATCTTTGTCCTTTCTTTCCTTTGCAGGAATCCCTCCCACCTGTCCAGTTTGACTGGAGTAGCAGTGGCCTTACCAACCCCTTAGATGGTACGTCTCTCCGTAGAGCCTCTAGCAGCACACCTAGACATAAGAGAGCTTCACAGACCAAACAGTCTTCTCTTTGCTAAACTTTTCTTTGTCTTGTCAGTCTTTTCTTGGGAGATTCAGGCTTTCTTTCCTCTTTGCATTCTCAGCACATGTAGTTGGGCCGAAATAGTTCTTTCTATCAGCACAAATGACAGCATGTCCTTGAGAGAGCGTAAAGTGTTTAAAATGGATTTCCATCTTAATTGGAAATCACTTATCTTCTGGGTGGACTGGAACCCCTCTATAATGTACAGTGGCCCTCTGAGAAAGCCATTGCCATAATATCAGTTTTATGAACAAATGGCGCCGCAGGTGCAATTTGTAACTGCAGCTCCTGCCTTGTTGCATATTGAAGGTGTGGGGCAATCCACTCGTCAAAAGCAAATGCTGGATATCCATATTTAATAGAAATACCCCTTAAATGTTTTCTTTTTCAGTCTTAAATTTCTTTAGTGTTAGCTATTAATTTTATATAAAACGGTGCATTTATCAGGTATGACTACAAACAGTTCCTATTAAAAAAAAATGTTTTCACATTGTTATTTATCTATTCATTGATGTTTGACCAGTTGAAGAGCAAGGTATGTTTTCAGCTTGGTTGTATATTCCTCTCTGCATTCCTTTTTACTATGTTTCCAGTTCTACTCTAAATTTCCTCATTCAGTAATCTACTTACTTTCCCTGTTCTTAATTATCAAGTAGTGCTAGACTTTTTGACTTCCTGACATATAGTAAGCATCCTCATACAGTGCAGTAGAGGTGTCGAGCCCATTTTCATTATGACTGTTAATCCACTCCATTGTACTGGTATGGGAGGTCCAATCTTTTCTACGTCAGTCAATGAAGGAAAGCCTGAATGCATTGATTTCATTCTCTTTCTGTTGTCATTGCATCCTGTTACTTTAACCAAATCTTTCTTCTTAGAATTGTCTGCTTTCAGTTTTTTAATGGGAAATAATTCATTTAATGTTCACAGTTAGGTGAGCTACAATTTAGTAGCCTTTAACACTAGGAAGCCCATAGTTGGCCCATACCAAGGGATACTCAAACGGTCATAATGACTCCTTCAATTTTGTTTTTTAATAGGTTTAAAGCACATTTGTTGCTATAGTTACAATTTGTGAAAAATACATCCAAAACAAGTCTATAATGCCATTTTTAAAAAAAAAAAAATGTAAATAAAAGTTTTAGATTAAAAATATTAGACAATACATTTTTTGTCATTTGACAACACTGTGTCAACTGCCTTAATTAGCTCAATATTGATCTTACTGTGAATACAGTATGCATTAGAAGCTGCATCAAGTCTGATAGAGCCTGCCTCATATCCTGACTTAAGGTTGCCCAGCATCAGCTAGGCTTTATTTCCCAGTCTTACTGTCCCTGACCCACCCCTTTCATTAACTAGATTTCAGTTCTTTCAGTCGTGGAGGATTAACATCATATGTGGGCCTACCTAGGAGTGCCTATTTCTCCAGACTGACATTCACTCATCAAGGCATTTGATATTTGCATACCTCTCCCAAGGGCCAGGCAACTGCTTTTATCAGGGCTAAGGACTCTTAGGCCGGCCATACATGGATCCAAATGTGGCCTGCTCAGCAGGGACTGGCTGAATTTCATTCCATGTATAGTCACGTTGGTTGTACAGAAGTCGATATACCGATTGACTTCTGTACATCTATCCTTTAGGGTTTCCCCACTTAGTCAGCATAACAGGCAATAGTGGGCAGTGCTGATTAGTGTATTCTGACGGCGGGGAAGTCTCCCCACTGCCAGAGTGTAATAGCTCAGCGGGGAGAATTCCCCCATCCACCTTAAATGAGTGGATTGGGGATTGAGTCATTTTATTTTTTCCTTCTAAAAAAAGAAAAAGAATCCTCTATGGGCTGCATTAGAGAAATATTATTTCAATTATTCATTAGCACATTGATGAAGGAGGGAGGGACCAGGAAAGGAAAAATATAGGCAAACTAAACGAAGCTGACCTAAACTCTTAAGTAGGAAATGGGAAAAATGTCACCAGCTCGCGAAGAATCTCCGAACAGTGAGATGTCACATGCCTGATGAAGGGGCCCTGCGTGTCTCCAAAACATTGCTTCTGTAAATATGATGTGATCACTGAAGAAAGCTGTGGACCCCTTCTGAGATCCCTGGTGCCCTTGTGACCTTTTTTCCATTTGAACGTCGATGGTATTCAGCCAGTGGTCACTACAGCACCCACTGATGTCTAACAGCCATTTCTCAGGAACGAGAGCGCTGGGAATATTGTGTGTAAATTGTAGTGCACATATTCCTCAGCACACCCACCGTGGATCATGAAACGTCGTTCAAAACTTTTATTGCAGAAAGGTCACATCACAAAAGCCCAAGTGCAACATTTTGGAGTTGCCCAAGACCCCTTTGTCAGGCATATGAGGGGTACCTGGGACAGTTACCTGCAAATGTTGCAGAACTCCTTAATTCCCAAATCAGAATTTAAATTAAAAACCTATTATGAAAGAAAGAGCTTCTAAATTAGAAAATATAAATATTTTTACAGTATAAAATCCAAATTTGCTTTTAATATATGAGTGTTGGGCAATAATAATTTCAGAATAGAAAATCTGAGATGGAAACCACTCATCAAGTTGTTGCCTTATTCATGCATTTTTAATTGCTTTGGGCAGGGCATTTAATATGTGCTGCTATGCCTACCAAAAGCCCTTTATAACACACGTCGAATGTTAAAAAAAAATGGGCATGAAATATTTTTTGGCAAATGCATGCCAACAAACAGCTTACCGTATTTTCTGGCGTATAAGACGACTGGGCGTATAAGACGACCCCCTACTTTTCCTGTTTAAAATGTAGTGTTTGGGCTATACTCGCCGTATAAGACTACCCCTCTTCCAGTGCACACCAGTGGGAAGAATCGTGCCCCATCATTGGTGTCAGTGGGAGGAATAGTGCCCCATCATTGGTATTAGTGGGAGGAATAGTGCCCCATCATTGGTATTAGTGGGAGGAATAGTGCTCCATCATTGGTGTCAGTGGGAGGAATAGTGCCCCATCATTGGTGTCAGTGGGAGGAATAGTGCCCCATCATTGGTATCAGTGGGAGGAATAGTGCCCCATCATTGGTGTCAGTGGGAGGAATAGTGCCCCATCATTGGTGTCAGTGGGAGGAATAGTGCCCCATCATTGGTGTCAGTGGGAGGAATAGTGCCCCATCATTGGTGTCAGTGGGAGGAATAGTGCCCCATCATTGGTATCAGTGGCAGGAATAGTGCCCCATCATTAGTATCAGTGGCAGGAATAGTGCCCCATCATTGGTGTCAGTGGGAGGAATAGCATCCCATCATTGGTGTCAGTGGGAGGAATAGTGCCCCATCATTGGTGTCAGTGGAAGGAATAGTGTCCCATCATTAGTATCAGTGGGAGGAATAGTGCCCCATCATTGGTATCAGTGGGAGGAATAGTGTCCCATCATTGATATTAATGGGAGGAATAGTGCCCCATCATTGGTATCAGTGGGAGGAATAGTGTCCCATCATTGGTGTCAGTGGGAGGAATAGTGCCCCATCATTGGTATCAGTGGCAAGAATAGTGCCCCATCATTAGTATCATTGGGGGGAATAGCACCCCATCATTGGTGTCAGTGGAATAGTGCCCCATCTTTGGTGTCAGTGGGAGGAATAGTATCCCATCATTGGTGTCAGTGGGGGGGGGGGGAATAGTGCCCCATCGTTGGTGTCAGTGGGGGGGGAGGAATAGTATCCCATCATTGGTGTCAGTGGGGGGTGGAATAGTGCCCCATCATTGGTGTCAGTGGGGGGTGGAATAGTGCCCCATCATTGGTGTCAGTGGGGGGGAGCAATAATGCCCAATCGTTGGTGTCAGTGGGGGGGGGAGGAAAAGTGCGCCATCGTTGGTGTCAGTGGGAGGAATAATGCCCCATCATTGGTATCAGTGACACCAACGATGGGGCACTATTCCTCCCACTGACACTTGCTGACCCCTGTTCCAGTATGGTGCTGCTGCAGCCAGCATATGTGGTTGCAGCAGCACCTAAGCACAGCACACTTACCTGCATCTCCACTCGATTTTCGCGGGGCCGCTCAGCTCCGCCTCCTCGCCGGTGATTGGCCGCCTGTGTGCCTTTCCTGAGCTACAGTTCTGGCGGCCAATCACCGGTGAGGAGGCGGAGCCGAGCAGCCGCGCGAACATCCAGTGGACGAACCGAAGGAAGGAGCAGCCGCGCTTCCTGGACCGGATCGTTGTGGGACCGGAGCCAGGTAAGAGACAGCAGCCCCTGCCCACCCCTATACTTAGTGTCCCTTCTGTTGGAAGGGGGGGACCGCGCCGCCCCCCTAAAAAAGTGTCAGCATGCCGTTACCGGCGTATAAGACGACCCCCGACTTTTGAGAAGATTTTCAAGGGGTAAAAAGTCGTCTTTATACGCTGGAAAATACGGTATATTTGAACAAACAACAATAGAATCAATTGAAAACCTATGAACATGCATTTGAGGCATAAAAAAACCACATAGGTACAAATGGGTCCTTAGGGTTTGTGACTTCTCTGCTTGGTCAGAATTAGAATATTTTGAGCAGTGGCTACAATAATATGACGTGTGGCCTTCATTGGTGGTTGATGTCTTTGAGATGAGAAAGAATGTGCTAAGCAGGTTAGGTATGTAGGTTAGCACTTCATATCCTGAGTGGTACTGTATATGCACCAGAACCTACTGTACTGATCCCTCCCATTAAGTCACAAGGGCCTTCTGACAAGGATGTAGTCCCTGTAAAAATACACTGCGTTATTTCCCATTAAATTGTAGAATTGTGTGTACCTTTCTGTCTCTTGTTTCCTGTTAAACAAATGTATAGCAGTGTACATTGTCTCAAGATCTATTATAATCTTGATTTCTTTACTGTGAATTCTTGCCTTGTGTTTGCTCATTCTTGCATATAACTATGTAAGCTGTTAGTATTTTCTAACTGTGGCATATTTAGTAGTAATATCTTGCATGTTTAAGTGTATGTCTTACCCCCTTTTTACACACACAATCCTTCCTCTGGCTTACCTTTTGTACGGCTGACTACCAACGTGGTCTCTGAATTTGAAGCTAGTGGAGGTTCCACTCTTCTGAATCTTGATTTCTTTGGGCCCGTGGATGACAGTGGCTTTAACAGCACCACCACTCTCCCAGGTCAGCTGAGTGTCAGAATGGTTGCCTAGAAAGCATGAGCAAGTCACTGTGGCTTTCCTACAAACAAGACAGCTGTTTTTTGTTTTGGTTTTTGTGCATATTACCACTAATAAGAACTTCTTAAGGAATGTATAATGTTTTGTAAATATTTTCTTTATGTTCAGGACTAAAAATTATATTTTTTTAGTTAGCTAAATATTAGTCATAATTCACAATTATCAAAATGCTAACTAAGTGCTATGCTGTGAATTGCCCTTGTTATGAAAAGACCTGAAGAGCAGAACATCAGATCACAAAACACAAAGTTGAGTTAGTGAAATGAGGGACACTTCTTTCCCTGTAGGTTAGCAGATAGGGATCCACATGGATTTTCAGTTTAACAGAAGAAGTCATCTAGGGATGTAGTTGGTCAAACACAATTCTAGTTTCCCATTAATTTAATGCTGTTTGCTTCTTTTCACATTTAATCCTTGAAGTAGCAAATGAAAGGGTCACATTGACAACAATAATAGTGCAATTACCACTTACCATTTTGCTCTCTTATGCTATTGTGATCAAACTGTAGTCAACAGTTGATGACTATTGCTGGGTACACACCACCAGTTTTTCTTGTTTGTTTTTTTGTCTCCGTTCAACCCAGCGTCTGAACGAAAACAATTTAAAAAGCTCCAGTGTTAGTAAAGCGATCTCCCCACTGAGTTACTGTGTTCTGACGGGGTGGGGGGGGAGAGAATGTCCACCTCCACTTTCCCCATTGGCAGCACTGATCGGATTCCCAGCATACCCGCTCCATAGAAGCTGGCCTTTCAGCCGGCTTCTGTTGGACAGGCGGGTGTACACATGGGCTGAATGTCGGCCTCTTTCTTTTGAACTAGCTGATAGTGGACAATATTCGGCCTGTGTGTACGGGGCTTAAAGCTTCTGTTTTCTTTTTAAGAAAACATAAGAGAAATATAAGAGGTGCCATTAGTGACATCGAATAGTGTTTTTTGAAGGTGCAAGTTGTAGTACTGTCATTCATATCTTTGATTTACTGTTTAGTGAGTCGGTTACCTGAAACCAGTATGTACACAGTGAAGTGTTGGGTCCCCTGTAATACTATTACTTCCAGATTAGTGATTTAAGTCGGCCATAGAAGTATCGAAATTGGTTCAGCATGAACTGGCTGAATTTTGATCCCTCTGTGGGAAGACTGGTTTTACTGAAATCTATCTATTTATCTTTTCTTTTCTTTTTTTTCAATGTACAATAGACGGCGGCAGTGATCATTGTATTCTGGCAGCAAGGAAACCTCCCGCTGTCAGAATATAATAGTGCAGTGGGAAAATCAATGTTGATGGGGGAATCAAGCGATTTTCTTTTCTTCTGTGGCTGAAGGAAAGAATATTGCATAACGTATGACCACCCTTACTAAATGACAAAGGAGAGATGTTTGCAGCATCTAAAACAAGTCAACAGCGGCAGCTCCTGCATTTTGGTCCTGAGAAGTTTCTTTTGAGGTAAGACCGCTCAACAGATTGCAGATGCATCATTATTGCTGCTGCATTTTTTTTTCGATGTACAATAGACGGCGGCAGTGATCATTGTATTCTGGCAGCGAGGAAACCTCCCGCTGTCAGAATATAATAGTGCAGTGGGAGAGTCAATGTTGATGGGGGAATCAAGCGATTTTTCTTTTCTTCTGTGGCTGGAGGAAAGAATATTGCATAACGTATGACCACCCTTACTAAATGACAAAGGAGAGATGTTTGCAGCATCTAAAACAAGTCAACAGCGGCAGCTCCTGCATTTTGGTCCTGAGAAGTTTTTTGAGGTAAGACTGCTCAACAGATTGCAGATGCATCATTATTGCTGCTGCATTTTTTTTTTTTTATTAAAGTCTCCTAATTTTTATTATGTTGCTCTGTAAGTGGTGTTATAGCTTCCAAAGTCGAACGTAGGTTGGACATATTTGCAAAATGCAAGAGTCAGCACGTGTACAGAGTGTATATTTCATTTGTGCTGACTATCTGGCTTCTAGGATTGGTTTGCAGTTGACTTTAGGCCAGCCATAGATGGTTAGAATCTCAGCCCCTTTCAGCAGGGACCATCTATGGGCAGGCTGATTGTACCCAAGTTGATCCATCAATCAACCAGCATGTGGAATTTCTAGCATGCGATTATTGCTCGCAGCTATAGCCACTAGCAATAATCAACGTGTTCTCCTGGCAGGGGTGGCATCCCCCACCCCCTCTCGGAAGAAGACATTGGATCCATAGGAGGGATTCCCACATCAACACTGACTGTGTTGATAGGGGGGATCGAGCGATTTTCTTTCTTGCAACCCATCTATGGCCTGCTTTAAGGTACCTTTACCCAGATGTGATTGTTTGCTCTGCTCTGTCCTAAACTGAGACAGTCTAATCAGCTGTACTGCATGCAAATCTGTTGATAAGGAACATGCCATTGGAGAGCAGTGTGAGCAGAGACAACAGTCGACTGCTGCACTTTCACTATCTAGTCAGAAGGCCGAGGGAGAGTGGAAACGACTGTATTCCTTAATTCCTTATTTACACTTGCAGCCAGGGGTGGGGGTACTGGTGGTAGGGTGTGATACACATACCGTGGCTTTGATGCTTTGCAGTCCTGACAAAAAAAAGTATACCACCGGTCATATGAATGGGGCCACATAGTAACTGTACTGCAACTGTGGTTGTTGCAACTGCCGCTGAATTATCGGGGAATGATAGAAAGATAAGACAGACAAATCCTTTTGGCAAGTAAACCCTCTGTTATATGTATTTTATGATTGTGTTGTCAAATATATCAAAATCAGTGAAAAATTATAAATACACAAATAAATTGTTCATATAATGCATAATATACTCCAAACATGGTGCTCCGTGCAAATCACAATCCACATAAAGAGTGATGAATGTGTGACACCATAAATGTGCTCTTCGTCTCCACCAACTAGAAACACATCGCACTCACTGGAGGTTATTGACCTCTTTTGCTTAAAAAGAAGTCGAAATGCGCTTTGCTTTGTACAACTGGTCAACTGGTTTGCGCTATGTTATGCATTGTGGATGCAATTTAATTGTGTATTTATAATTTATTTCACTGATTTTGATATATTTGACAACACAATCTTTTCTGAAAAAATTTATGAAAGCACAGTCAAGCCTTGAGTTTTTGTTGTATCTTTTTTTTTTTTTTTTTTCTTTTCTGGACTTAATTTTAAGTCTGAAGAAGAACAGCTTTGTATTTTGTCACTTAATGTATACATATTGCGGGCACTGATTTATTTCTTTGCTAGGGTGTGGGGAAATTGCATCATTAACAATAATGCCTGCAAAAAACCTAATGTCCTTTAAAAGCTTGCATCTTTATCACTTAAGTTAGCCAATTATAGGTATCGCATATTTTCCAAACTTTCAGTAGGGAAACTGAAGAAAACCTAATTTTGTGTCCTCTGATCTTCAGTTAGCATCTGCTAGATCCTTCCTATAGGAAGACAGTCATTATAAAGCACATTATTACATAATAAAAATTCCCAAGCACATGTAGAAAGACTCCACTCCAATGATTTTAAACAGCAGTGTGATGAGATGTTGCTTATCCAGTGGGATGGGAGTTTTTCCAATGGGATTTTTCCAATCAGAGTTTGGACATGTCTTCCTCCATATAGAGCCTGCTGAAGCATGGCTCTAGAAATTTTTTTAAATTCCTTTGGTGTGTACCAATTTTTATGGCACCCATAGCCATCAACTGACTGTGGCTCATAGTACACTCACCAAGTCCTAAAATCAGTTGTGTGATATCCATATGCACTGACAGTCTATAAACCCCTCTAAAAATTCTAACCAACAAAGATTTGGTAGGACTTTAAATAACAATCATGTCTTCAGAATGTCTTTGAACAGTGACTGTTGTGCATTCCACATGTTCTGAATTATATCCTTTATATTTTTAATCAAAAACTATAATAAAGTCATGCAATTTATCCAGATTGCTATATTGTAGTTTGTTACTATTGTGCAGTGATTCACTGGTTTTGCATGTTCATTTTAATGAAGTGTGAAGATTCATTGTAAATGGTGTTGCATCAATACAATATACTTCCTGAGTGCAACTAGTCAAATTTTAATGGCCCATTTTGAACATACAGGTTGCAGTTTCAGACTACAAGCCCTTACCTCTTGAATATAGTCATCATGAGTTGAAGCCTAACTCCAGGCAGTAATAAAATAATTAAAATTGTGTATCCTTTACAGCTAATAAAGAATATATTGGTTGCCTTGTTGGGGGGATAATCTAACGGTGTCCAAACACATCTCAATGTGATCTTTCAAATCGGATCATGAATTGATTGAATAGGAATCATAAACCATAGACCCTTCATGCGATCTATTTTAGTGAGCTTTCGATGAATTTCAATGCTGGTGCAACATTCTACCAGGGCAGAATTTTATTGATAATTTCTGATTGAGAAAGAAAATATTTGTTTGCCTGTCAGGCAGCCAATCGCACTACAGAATAATTAAATGAGCCATGTAGATCATAATATCTTATGTATTGCTTTGTTTGATACTTTAAATGATGATGAATCGCTTGTTTGTGATCACTCATACCTAGATTGATCAGATCGATACATTTATAGCCACCTTAACACAGATTATTACATACCTTACTCCCTGATCCTGCAATCTTCCTCCCTGTCATTTCTGGTTGTATTGCCTGAAGTCTCTTATCCTGGCAGTATTGTTATTACCCTATGCCAATGTTCTCATGTACAGTGCAGGACCAGCGGCCAACACATTTGAGGTGACGTAATAGTGCCCACCCACGTTAGACAGCACAATAGTATACCACCAGTTGTTGTGGGGCCTTTGAGCAATATAAGTATTACTCTGTGTTAGATTGTTCTCTAAAAAATGAACATTAAATTCTTCATAATGGTGGTAGCTGGGTGAAACCTTTTTGAGTACAGTGTATGAAAAAAAGATGTATTAACAATT